GGGGGTGTGGGTTGTCACCTGACTTGGTTCAGAAGTCTGCTCTGCCTATTATCCTCAGAGTATTAGCTTGTTTCCTTCAATTCTTCTCGTGATGATGACAGCAGTGAAGGAGATCGAGAAGAAACAAGGTGCACTGCTAGAAGCTTAGATCAAAACTAGCAAACTGTTACTTCACAGTTGCTAAAGCAACTCATGTTGCCCAATCTTGGGCTGAGTTTTGGGAACATATGCTCTGGCCCATTGGCAAGAGGAATATAAAGTCAAATGACAAATGGCCTGAACTTAAAAAAGTGAAAAGCTTAGACAACTAATACAACCATTGGAACATGAACATCCAGGTAGAATGCTTTCTGAAAACATATTTACATTAGGAAGAAGTCTTTTAGAACCTGCACAGAGAAGGATGGAAGAGAAGGAGTAATACTGTGGTCACTGCTTCTAAAAGGATACCGTGGACCTGGAGATATGGCTCAGCAGTTAAGAGTATTGGCTGCTCTTGCAAAGGATCCAGGTTCAGTTCCCAGACCCACATGACAGTTAACAACTGTCTATAACTCCAGTTTCGGGGAATCTGATGCCTTCTCCTGACCTCCGTTAGCATTGTACAACATGGCTGCCCTTACATACATGCAGGCAATACACTCATACACAAAAGTAATAAATAAAATATTTTAAAGAACAATACCGTGAACAGGGAAAAAAATCAAAGGCTACATAGACTGGGGCTCGGAGTTAACTGCATGCTTCACTTCAAAAGGCCATCTTGTATCAGATGCTCAGTTAATTGTAATTATAAATCTATGTGATTTACAGCTGGAAACAGGCTGATTGTGAGACCCAAATCATAAGTGAAGAGCTCCCTCCCTCCACCCACCCAGCTTTCTAAACCTCAGTTGATCCTTTCTGATGTCTCATGTATAAAACAGAAAACAAAAATATTCTGGAAAAGCCCATTTCACTTCAGTAATCACATCATTTCCTCATCAGATCAAAAGCTGGGAAAGAAATTAATGAAAAGTTGAGAAGCAGATATCCTATCCTTAACCCACCCCACACATTTATACCCTACTTCCAATAGCAAGAATGAGCATTGATGGGACTAAACACACTTAAACTTCTTCCCATCCGGGTTTTATGAGTATTGGGCAATATTCTGAAGGCACCAATCTGAACATCATTCTGTCCATGTTACAGAAACCTCACAAAACAAGAATATTTCTTAATTTGTTGAATCCTTTGAGCACTCTTAGTATGTATTATTATTGTTATCAAGACAACAGAAATATAATGAGCATACTGGTCACAATTGTGATGTATGTGTTTGAAAATTTAACGGCTTCATTTCACTACATTCAAAAATTTAAATGAAAATGAATGAAATTAAAAAAAAAACAAAGTCACTGTGGGAAATCTTTAAATCACAGTTTTCTGAAAACATGCACCAGTTAAGAATATGTGGGAAGAAGAATTTGTTGTTTACCTGATGTTGCAAATGTTAAGAAAAATCTCTTATCATATAATTTCTGTGTATATAAAGATTAAACACAAAAAACAAAGGGCTCTAGATTAAGAAAAATGATCGGAAATTATTGCTGTAAGTAAACCTACAAATACTTAAAGTAACAGTTATTTCCCTTGACATTGGATTCAATAATAAGTGATGACTCTTTGTTTTTCCATAAAGACCATTTTAAAGCTGATGATGGTAACTATATCAGGCTAAGAGAAATGAACTGAGTGACAGTTACCACTATGTAGAGAAAGAAGTCCAAAATTTCAGAGTAAGTTGAGTTTTTAGAAATTGCTTAACACATGGGGGATGACACTGATGCTCAGATATAAAGTCTTTCTTTCTTCACAGAAATATTCCTATTTCCTTAATAAAACATGAATCAAAACCAAGCAGTAACTACTACCTATTTAGCTGATAATGTGGTTTCCTCACATTATACAGGACTAAATAAATTAGTTTAAATTCCACCTGCTATTTTCTGTGGAAGTGAACTTCTCAGCTGTTTGTGAATCAAGGCACATCAATTTAAACTAATAATTGAAGTTCAGTTTAGCTGGCCTACCTGAAAAAATAGAATCAGATGGAAAATATTTATGAGAAAATTTGAGATTTCATTTTTATTTAGTTACCAGATAGTCCAAATTGGGTTGTGAAACTTTCCAAAGCATATTTTTTTCAAATGCTGTGCTTTCAGGAGCCCATAACCCCTGCTTACCAGAACACAAAATTTCTCAAAGAATGTAATATCTCATTTTAAAGAGGATACTGAGCCCCTCATTTGTTTCTTGGTAGTACAGTGTATTCATCTTTCATTGCAGCTGATCTTTCTCAAGTGGGTCTCAAGGTCTTGAACCCATTTGTTGAATGCCTCCCAACCAAAGAATCACTACTATCTCCTTTTACTGCATCCTATATTATAATCAGTCCTTCAAGGCATTCCTTTTCTGACAAGCACATCCTATATTCTCTCATCCAAGAAAATAGCATAAAATTCTCCTTTGTGTGTGTGTGTGTGTGTGTGTGTGTGATTGTGTGTGTGTGATTGTGTGTATGTGTGTGTGTGATTGTATGTGTTCACATTCATGCATCTATATAGGGAATTGAAGATCTTTTCTCACATTCTCCTGCTTGGCTACTACAAAGTAAAATCTTCCCCAGAGACAGCTAACAAAAAGAGACGAGACAAATAACTTCAGAACAGGACATGCTTTTGAAGTTATGTGCACATACATTCATTTTCCAATGAATATTTTTGCATGTAAAAAGCATTTATAAGGAGAAATGAGAAAGGCAATTTGTGGAAAAAATGAATTGGATTTGAATGAGGATGACGAATTGGCGAAGACAGAGTGCCGAGGGAAAATGAGCTCCAGGTTTCTGCTTTCATGTTTCCCTAATACAGTGCATTTTAGAAATAATTTTTTATTCAGAAGTTTAGATGAGAAATACCTATCTTACTTTTAACTGAAATACTTTCTTTTATGAAATCATTAGGTTTGTAAAGCTAAGTATACTGTGCTGATTTTTTTTTAATAGTAGCATCAGCTGGTATCTGATTTCTTAGACTTAGTAGGTTTAAAAAGTTAATATCATTTATATATGCAGTCAAAACACTCATACATATAAGGTAAAAAAGTAAAATCTTTAAAGAAAACCTATTTTTCCAAATAAGTTTTCTCATTTTTTATTTATTACTATACTACTTTGATTATGAATTTTCCATTTCACAAAGGGAAAATTGAATATTAAATGTTAATCTGTCTTTTTTTGAAGTTCTAATTACTGAAATGTATATTTTATAAGAGGAATGCTAAACTATACAGTGGGTACCTTCTGCACTTTGGAATCTTTGACTTATGTCCTGGGTCACCCCCACCCTATCTGTGACTGTAAACAAGGTTTTTGGATTCTCTACATCTTTGGAATGAGGATAGAGAGCATCATCTCTATGAAGATACTGAGCGGGAAATTCAATAAACCAGTGAAATAACACATCTATATTGTGTCTGCCTTATTTGCACTCAAATATGCTAGCAATATATGTGTGTTTTAAATGTGATGTTGAATGTATTACAACTAATAAAAAGTCAAATTACGCACTATTGGCTGTTACATAAACACCTGAGACGTCTCATTTGTCCTTAGTCCCACCAACACATGTGCCTATTAATAACGTTTTATTTTTATTTATTAAGGAAAAGAGTGTGTTCAGAGGAACGATGAGAACTTTAGTAGACTGGGGCAAGGATCAGATCTGGTTTCTTATTTACTCACCAATTTTGTAGTCAAGTGCCCTGAGAGCCTTGGAGCTTCTCTGAGCCGTGGGTTTCCATCTGTGAAGTCGGGATGTTTCCTATTATTTACAGCATGAATGGCCCCAACAACAGTGTGGGATCCAAATTCTGTTTGTTTGTTTACTTTTTAAGATAGGGTCTCCCCTTGTATTGCAGGCTGACTTGGAACTCCCTTGGGGCTAGACTTGAACTCCTGATCCTCCCACCTTAGCCTTCCAAATACTGGGATTACAAGTCTGAGTCACCCTGTCAGTTGGCTAATTACTCCCAAAATATTAATTTTCACTTCTGATGTATACAGTTAGATTATTTTCTTTTAAAGAATACACATCTCAGCTGGGAGTGATGGTGCACACCTTTGATCTTAGTGCTCAAGAGGAAGAGGTGGGTGGATCTGAATTCAAGGCCAGCCTGGTCTACATAGTGAGTTCCAAGACAGCTGGGGCTACAGGAAGATTCTGTCTCAAAAAAGACCAAAAAAAAAAGAACACATATTTCTGTGAAAGCTGTTCCTAGATAATTCCAAATGGTGATCTGAAGTAAGGTAAAGAAAGACAAAAGTGCAAAAGTGTCCTGTTACCTGTTAATCAAGCTCTAAGGACAGTGAAATGTGACCCTAACAGCATAGACAGGCACCTTTAAAACCAGTCATCAGTAAAACCTTGAGGTAGCTTCAGGAAACTTAGGAAGAAGTCAGGGGTAGGTTTATTCTTCTATAATTTTCTTCCAGAGGAATGGACAGTCTTTTTAAGTTTTTCACTTTTTATTAAAGAAAATCATTTTTTGTACATGAGTTTTCTATTGCAGACAAGAGGCAGACAGCTTTGAGAGATATGTGAAGACACATTTCATTTTTATTATCTTTTAGGCATAGAGGGGTATGTTAATCCATTTCCACATACAAATCCTATAATCACATATAGGGAGTGAACTTTGAACTGGTAAAGCCTGTCTCCTGCTGCCAACCAGTGCAATGGGAGAGAAGAAACCTTAGAAGTCAAAGACTGTGAATTATCTTCCTTCCAGTGCGACTAAGCATGGCTGATGTTGATCGAGTCAGCTTCCTCTTTAAGACATTGATTCAGTAGTAACAGTGTTGTCCTCTTTTTCCTTGTAAACATCCTCTCTTGGTCCAGAGCTCTGAGCTTCTTTTCTGCTGACTAGGTTCTAAGAGCTGTTTTTGACTTACTCTGCAAGTGTATACCATGCCAGCTATAGAATAACACTCTCTCTATCATCCTGTTGCTTATTTTCTGCAAACATATCTTAGGAGTAAGACTTTAAACCTTTGATCATCCATAGCAGAAGAAGAAAAGAAAAATAATAATATGGAAATAATCTCATTTTAGTGTTCATGGTTTATTGTGGAAAGCAGATGTTTAAAAAGTTTAGAATTTCTTTAATAAATTCTAAAGAGAAAAGAAAAAGAAAACAAAAAAGAAATCACAGTATTTACAGAGATAACAGAATGGCTTAGCCATGCAAAACAAATAACTTTGGTTTTGTTTTTCCCCCTTCACTTTGGTTTAAATATTGACCAAGATTCATTTTTTTTCCTGCCAAATAAAACTTCAATAAATCAAAGTTCAGAGGCAAAATAACTTGTTTTCATTTTTTTCCATAATAGTTTATACAGCATGGAGTCTAGTAGAATATTTTTATGTATTTAATCCATACCAATGCATTACAAGAAGCTTTTATTAAACTGAGTCACTATTGCTCAGACAATAAATGGTTACAAATGTACAATTATCTGTGTCTTAATATGCAGAATTTGCAAATGTTGTCTCCAACCATCATCAGAGATTAATCTTTGATTAGTTTTTCATTGCCATTCACAATATTTTTATTACTTGAGTCTGAAAAACAAACATCAGTTTTCCTTTTTCTCTTAAAGAACATAGCTCTATACCTGGAAATACAATGTTCATTTTTCTTTTCTTAGTTAAAGTTATGTATGTAAATCCTGGGACAAAAAAAAAAATGACTGTGTAGTATGATCCCAGGACCAAGCTTCTATCTGAAAGAGCAAAGTTTAAAAGTCTAGTCACAAGTCCCTATTGGCCCTTATTCAGTCTACTTCAAAAAGTTTCCTTTTATACTACCGCCTTAAAAAGTTCCTCAGGCATAAAACATGTTTATAAAGTTACAAATTTGAATGTAACTAAAGATACATAGACATTTATTATTACACTTTTATGTTCTGCTTGATAAATTATGTACCAGTTAAAAACACTAAATTATCTCAAGGTGCATTCAATATCTGTAGCGTAGTTAACAAAAACACACACGAAAAAAATATATATTCTATATTCTGTGGAAAATAACACAGCTTTAATAATGACCACTGTTAAAAATCTCCAATTCTGACTGATATCTCTTATTTTTTAAAGGAAATAGGGGTATCATTTTAAGGCAGTGGATAACCCAAAGGATTTAACACAATTCTTAATTACAGTGATTTACATTGTGGTCTGTGGAAACGGCAAGCCAGCTCTGAATATTCCATCTCTGACACATGATTTCTTTTTCTTTTCTCCCCCCACCCACCTTTTCCTTTGACAGATTGTAATTTACTAGTAGATATCTTTAAACAAATGTTACCCAAGTTCTGTATTATGTCTTTTTCAGAAAAGGCAAATTTGTCAGCTTGGGAGTACCATTCACCTGCAGTGATTCCGTGTGTCTGAGTGCTTCTGAGCATCAGCTAATAGCACACACAATCACATCTTACGGTGCTTATCAGTCTGACTCTTGGCCTCCTTTTCTCGTGATAAAAACCAGCTTCTGAATAGGGCAATGTGTGCATCCCCAATCTCACAAACTGCCACCTTTGGGTTTTAGGTGCTCCTAAGAAAGTTCAGGGCATTCCTGATAGCAATCAGAATCAGAACTGTACCTGCTCAGATTATCCATACAAACAATTGAAATAAAAACATTACATTATACATCTGATTAACGGTAACTCCCAGAACAAAGCTTACAGTGTATAAAAATAGCTACGTAAAAAATTTACATAAAAGGCAAACTGAAAAGAAATCCTCAGTGCAGACATTTACAGAAAAAAATTCAAACCCAACATAACATATGACCTATTATCATGGCTGCCAAATCTTGTTGGTTTATTTTTAAATATATTTTCGTTTCATTGTTTTACTTGAGATAATTCTCTAAAATCCTGCGACAGCTTGGTAGAATGAACTGCTTAATACTTGAACCATGAATTGCTGTCAGTGTCTTTGTTTATGTCTTAAATACAATCCACGTTCATGCTTCAATTGGTCTATATGATTTTTTCCTCTGAAATGATGAAAAAACATAATTTAGATAAGTTACCATAACAATCATTTTTCACTATCAACAGATAGCTTGTACTAAATTAAGTGACAATAATTTCTTTAGTCATAAAGCTCTGCTTTCCCTGAGTTCATCTGAAAACCCATCTGAAAAATCATGCACTATCAATTCTACAATGTTTTTAGAATTGATGACTCTCAATCTCCATTTCTTCCTTCCTTCCTTCCTTCCTTCCTTCCTTCCTTCCTTCCTTCCTTCCTTCCTCCCTCCCTCCTTCCCTCCCTCCCTCCTTTTCTCTTTCCCTCCCTTCCTTCCTTGCCTCCCTCCTTTTTAAATACAGGCTTAGATTCATATGAAGATTATAAGGTGTTTCAGAACAATATTTCATTCCATTTCTCTTCAAACATAAAATGCGTTCATCCCTTTAAATCAATAGTCTTCCAGTGAGATGGAAGTCAATCCATTTTGAAGAAATCAAAGGGTATAAACTGTGTTTACACAGGACTGAGGAAAAGTAGGGCAGTGGGGGAAGAAGTCTGAGATTGCTGATGTATTTAGGCTCTAGTGGGCATAACAGGAGACAGAATCCAATTCCAACTCTTTTTACCCATTTACTTGGAGATTCTGACTTTCAGACTTTACAAATTGATATCATTTCAAATGATTCTACATTTCTCTGCTTGGTGTGTTCTTATATATACAATTTTTTTTTCAAATGCCCACCATCCTTGCTATGAGATAAACTCATTAACCTACTTGGATTGTGACTTGTGGTTAATTTATGTTACACCCAAGGTTTACAGCAGTTGAGCTTTATACACCATGTTAATAAGCTACAGTAACAGTTCCCTCATGATACACAGAATAATTAATTCAAATGATTCTTGTTCATTTCAAGGGGTCACAAAAGAAAAAGGTCAAACTGCATGTGGTAATGCCATTGTATCATATATACCTTTGTGAAGCTGTCTTACAAACCATACACATACAGTTAATATATGTGAATATATGCAATATATGCAACAGTGGCATATACATTATGCACACATATATGTATGCATATCTAGGTACTTATATACTTATGGACCCACACAAGCATAATATACTTACACTACCTAGAAAAGTCTGTGTATTTGTATATACATATATACTAGTTTGTCAGCCTTTTCATTGAAATGATTTGGGAGCTGACTGTACAAATGCATTTACAATTACACCATATCCTTAGATTAAAATATTTATATTTAAATTTTTGTTCTAATGGCTTTTAAAAATAAATTTTGAGTTTGCTCTTTCTGAACCCAAATACCAATTTATAAAATGAAGCTTCTTTGTATGCAGCAAAATTTTTGCCTTAGAAAACAAAATGCAAATTAGATGCTGAAATCTCAAAAGGGATTCAGGGGATGATGATGATTGTGTAGGGGATGCTGAGGAGACTGGGAAGATTCCATCTTCTGAGAACACTGAGACACTGAAGTTCCCTGTTGAAAATGCTCTTCCTGATTTGGAAGCTGTAATTAAGAAGCGTCTGAGAGTGAAGTTTCTGTGTCATCCCTACAGAACTCCCCACTTCTGGGGGTCATGTCTGCAGACCTCCTCCATCCCACTTACCTGGACAGCTAGAGCCACTCCTCTCTTAGGCCTCTGTTTTGTGATTGTTTTCTTCTAGCTTTTTGTTCTCCTCCATATTACCAAGATCCTTGTTTACATGTTTTGATGCAGTCCTGCATGAGAATTAAATAAACATCATATAAATACTCATTAAGCAATTTATGATTATAATTTGAAAATATCTCTGAAAAGTAAGGGTTTTTCAGGGTAGAGAGTAGGGTAAGCGATTACATATCTGTTGGGCTTGACTGATAACAACACAATGGAAAAAAAAAGAGACCCATTGGAAGTGGGACTATATTAAAACCTGATGAGACAAAAATCAATTATTTTGAAAACATTATACTGTTTTGTTGAAACATGGTGTGATGTGGATTGTTTTTCCCTCTGTTGTCATGGAATCATGAAAGTAATTAGTAGCTCCTTTTTTTGTTTGTTTGGTTGTTTTGTTTTTTTTTTTT